GGGGGGGGGGGGGGGGTTGCTTGGCGCTGTTTTGTTGGGTGGTGTTTTGATGGGGCGTGAGGTTGTAGATAGGTTGATGTGATTGGATTGCGGTAGATGGTGTTTTTTGTGTCAATTTTAATTCTATATCGCAATACCACATGTGAGAAATCTCGAAAAAGCGGGGGATAAAGCAGTATTTTATCCATCATCATCGGGATGAATCAATAAAATCCTTTAATTGATCAACACTCATGCAACATATCACTTACAATGCCCAGCCATCACGAAGAAACCGGCCTATATTTATCTCCCTCTCCCCTCTCTCTAAATCTCGGGGTCTCAATGTAACGCAAATTAAGCGAGGGTGCATACAAATACTGTGCAGTAGCGAGCTAAAGATTCCTAGCCAATGAAACCCGCTACCCAAAACAACCTTGTAAGGTGGTCGCAAATTTGTAAGATACCTGGTCGTTACTCTGTACACACTATACAAGAATCTATTATACTCATCAAACTTGTAGTACAAGCAAAATAATTATCTTAGATACCTAGGCTAGTGAAAATTAGGAGGTAACAATTGTTCTACGCTCTTCATGTAACTATTTTAGTTGTACGACACTTTGGAAACAATTTTATTGTAAGAGACGTGTGTATAGAGTACCGACCATGTCTCTTACCGAGGATTTCTTCCTGTAGCATATTTGTCGGTCCTTGAATACCTAGGTAGCTTCTTTATTCCTTTTTCTTAGCGGGTGGTTAGCTTGGAGTCACTGTTTTTAAGGCGCTATTAGGAGGAGTTGTGGTGATAGTAAACGTCTTCTCGCTTTGGATTCTAGGAATACTGTTATTTGGCCATTGGTGATATCTTTCGAGATAATTATATTGTAAAAGAGGGGCATGAACGCTCTTTCGGGTTCGGGACTTCGCGATCGGATTCTTGGATCGGATGGATACTGCAAGTCTGATTTATTTAGCTGACAATAAGAAATTAATAACAACTACGAGTATTTATCAGGACCTGTTTATTATAGTTTAGAGGCCGATAAGATATATATCTCGACATCTTCCATAACAAAATCTATTTATAAATTTCTCTTCGCTAATCAGGTCGCAGATATTATCTACCATTTGTATTTACGCCCCGATCGTCTTCTATGTTCATGTTAATAGACATATCGATAGAGAGCCGAGAGTGCTAGGATAACTGAAAAGAGTAGAACTGCTAGTTAGGAGGTGTATATGATACGTACAAGTAACGTTTAGCGAGATAGAATGATCTTACGATTATTTCCAGTTTGCTAGTAGATTTAGATCTAGGAGCGATACCAAGTCCTATGGTTTCTATACATATAACCCTGCTTATAAAGAAATTCTTAGAATCTACGAGAGACGCTTTTGTTATCGACATAGAAAGCTATCATAGTTCCACTTTTTGAGACTATTTACTACATAAGATACTCCCAGGAGGATTCTTAGTAATTGATAATGAAAAGACGGTTAGACCCCTCCCCCCGTCTTAATCCACTTAGGACATTTTTGTGAAACCAGTTCTAAGATTATATTAAGTTCTATTTCGTCCCAGACGATTTAACTGTAACTTTCCTAGGATGGCTGAGGTTGGCAAGAGGGTGGAAAATACCGAAAAACTTACAATCATTTCGCTTGGGACAAAGTACAAGTCTTATTGATGTCACTTAAATGCTTCGTCCTAGGCCGCGTAAATGTAAAACCTTAGTAGATATCTTACATCATGTTTCGTTCCAAAACCTCTTATACTTCGTATACTCACAAAGTTCTAACTTTAATTATACCTAGGACAAAGTAATAACACTTAGAGTTATTGAATCAAAAAAAGCTTATTGGTATATGTTCAGGCTCAGCCCTGGAATAGTCTTACATTAGAACGAAATTATTCTAGCGAGCAAGATATCAGTCGCACATTTCAAGAACATGTTAAAGCTAAAGAACGAAACCATAGATGGTGTAGGTGCCAAGATAATCAGGCAGCAAAGGAATATGTGCTCATGATACCGTGGTAAATCGATGTTAACGAGTACGCTAACCTAGCGTAGTGGATAGGCGGGTTGGGTATGTGACTGCGGTCGGCGAGGTCCTGTGCATTAAATGGCCCCCAAGATCCATGAACCGAGCAGAGATTATACGACTTTAATGGCCTCCAGTCGATAACTTCGCGGCTTCAATGGCCTTTAGCCCTGTAAACTCACTCTTACACCCTGTTTTGTCCCTGCCCGTGGGCCAAGTCCCAAAAAGCTAAGTCTCGTAGGCCTGCACTTTAATACTACTTTATCTAAGGACCTACGAGTACGAAGAACTTAAAGCTATTCATAACTCTAGAAGTATATACCTAAGAAAATAAGCTAACTAGCTACCTTCTATGTTCCTAGGCCCTAGGGAGGAAGAGCCATACCTATAAACACAATATAGGGGCCCTGATTTAGACGCTATAGGTGACTTCTCGCTCAGTTGCTAATACGTAGGCTGTCTTTTAAATATACCCTCTAATCCGTGGTTGAAGAGTTCTATTGTCTTTGACGTTATTCGCACTCTAGTACTCCGTAGGAGCGTAGGATGAAAAAACACGACTTGCCCGTGTTGTACCCACACTCTTCGAAAAAGCGGCGGTTTATCGTTTAGAGGCTATTAAAGTCGCGGAGTAATCGACCGGAGGCCATTAAAGTCGTATAATCCCGAGCAGACGTCCAGCCACTCGGAGCCTACAGATAATAGTGGTCCTATCCACTACGCTAGGTTAGCGTACTTGTTAACATCGATTTATCACGGTAGTGGATTGCGTTATCTTGATGCCAATTGATAGACAATTTGGCCTTTGTCTCGTAAGTAGAGACGTTTCATGGTATGTATGTATCTCGTTCAAAGCCTCTACCTATAATCGCCCAAGCTTATTTAGCTCAAGGTTAACCTATCATCATTCTGGATACCATGATATAAAAGTCTAACGGACGAAGTATATGGACCACTACAGATAAACCTGGATATAAGGATAACCTCGGTTATATCCTTACGAATCTTCCCCCCACGAATATCCCTATATCCAGGTTTATCTGTAGTGTACCGTAGATTGTGAAGGAAGTGGCTGAAAGCACCGCGCAAATCTCATTAGAATCTTACTTTTCGGAGATATTGCACCGTTTATAAGCAATTTACAAGCAAATTTATAAGCGAAAAAATGACGTGTCTTTAACTTTCGCTCATTGGCGATAGCCTTTTGCTAGTTGGCGTTGCTCAAACTCAATTCATAGACAAGTCTAAGCTCTAGGCTCTCATACAGACGAACATCACCCCACCATTCTTCCTTCGCCTTGCGTCTGTGAAAGATTTCAAAGGCTTTCCTTCGAGAATACATGCTTGGATTTAAATTAAAGCGTGAGACATTTACAACGGACAATATACCCGGATGGGTGCAAACTACAAACTGGCACCAAATAAAGAGGAGGCTTGGGGGAACTCAAAATCATCTGTTCGACAGCGGCTAGACAAACCCAAAATATTTCCCCTCTCGTTCCACCATTTTTCCGGTTCCTTTAGAGTTTGACCCTAGTTACTGACTCGACTTGGCGCCATGAGAAGGTGGACAAAATTTTCTGATTTTAGGGAATAGCACATAATACGGCGATACCCCAATTAGGAAGAACCAAGCAATGTAAGACAAACATATCGACAGGCGAGTTGAAAACAAGTGTACTTCGTATCATGGAAAATATCCGTGAATTTGGTAGTATGTTCCACTCCATAGCTAGTCGTCGTTAGTTTTAGATGTTTGAGCGAATGGAAAGTCGCAATCGAGAGGGACGCTTTTGTCCTCCGTATATGGGCGCAAAACATTTGAAAAACTTCACAAATATTGTGTGCTTTTGTGTACGAAACATGAGGGATCATGTAGTGACACCCACCGACATTCGCTTCTTCACACTCTCGCCTGTTGTATCCTATTGTAGCTTCCAACCACCTTTTCATGTCAACACTGCAAGCTTTCATAGGCGCTCTTGACTCTTCTCTGGTCTTTATCAACATCCGTGCTATCACGTACGGAGAGTCGAACTTCGTGCTCCCTGTGAACAGGGTTGTAGCTTCGATAAGGATTAATGGTAAAATTCGGAATTCGGAATAAAGTGGAGACCTGGGGGATTTTAGCTCGTGGACAATGTGCATGTATTTGGTTAGGTGACATTAAGTGGATAGAGTGATTTCTTCAAACAAGGTCCGATGTTTCCTAGTATTTTCAGTATTGAAACAATTTGTTTCAACAATCACTACATACAGTACGAGTACTTCGGACCCATAGAAGTATCATTGATACGAGGTAAACTTTACTTGAAGCCTGGTAAATACTATTGCACGTGGGAGTTGTAATCACTTCAACCACGTTTTTCAAGGTAATTTGACGCCCACATCTGCTCCGTGCTCAATCAGTGGATATTCTAAAGTAACTGGTGCAAGCTCAAGCTCAGGAATAATGTAATCATACCATAGGGTTTTTATGAAGACAACCGTAAGAAGCTTCCCATCAAGTCACCGTGTGTATGATGAAAGATTGTACATTAGAGGAACAGTTCCTCTATGTAGTCGACTCTTCTAGCACGAGCATATCTCATATACTTCGAGGAACTAGAAAGCAACATGTGAATTACTTCGTATATGTACTCTCTCTCCCTGCAAGTTAACCCTGCATTGCAGGTCCCAAACCCACCAAAACCCGATGGACCCACCAGACTGGCCATGGGAATATCCTCAACCACCTCCAATGAGTTCGGCCATACCGACACAACGGCCTCGGGCCGTTCCTGCAATAGTTCATTGGCGAGTAAGACACTGTTCTTCGGCACATTTATAGACAGGGAAGGCATCGCGAAGAATATTTGGGGCTTCCAGCGGCTCAATTTATTGAATTTTTACCAAGACTTCATGACGAAGGTTGCGGAGCAGCCAAAGATGGTTTAGCGAAATGGATCCAGAACTTGAGTTTCCCCATAACTGAGGTTTGGATGGCGTCCCCACCCGAACACCAATTGTTGTCCCACAACCGAATTCTTGGATTCTGGACTCTCTCTGACCCAGACTGTAAGTTTATCTGATGTTTTCCTTCTCAGAAGAGGCTTGAACACGCCACCAAATGCTACCTATCACTCCCGTCGTCTTCCGCCGGCACTTGATTTGAGCCCCCTCGAACTGCCGAAACTCACATGCCCAGTGTTTGGTATTGTGATTGGTATGAAAGAGATCAAAACAGACGGAAAGCTAAATACAATTCCGGATCCAGTTACCCGTTCAGCATTGGAAATCCCCCGCGTCATTAAGCAGACGATCATCTTTCGGAAACGTTTTGCATCATTGCAGGAGTGCCTCGTCCCAAGGAAAGAATATGTCAATGCCCTCTCATCAAAACATAATATTACCGACCCCTGATCATATCCATCTTTAAGAAGGCAACGTACCCCTTCTCGCCATTTGTTACCATACACCCCCGGTCGAACGATTTCAGTCATTGCAAAGTCCCCTTTTGGAATTCCTCTTCTTTAAATTTCGGAACGATAACGGCAAACTCCAAAGATAGTTCTGGAATTTTCTCGGATTTGATCAACAGATACACGTCCCTTCGGATCCCAGATACCGGGCAATATCATACGAAGTATTCGGGTGGAACTTTCAACAAGTGGATCCGGAACTTACAGTTCACATTGGAATTCGGACTTGGTTGGACCCACTATAGTTAAAGGGATTCCTGCGATATACTGAGCTACTGAACCCATCAATTCACGAGTCTGCTACCGGTACATTTCCACCTTTGTCATTTCAACACTTCCTACCAAGCATCATCCCTGGTCTATAGCAACTATACACGTACCTATCTTTTGGAAATTTTCAGATCAGCCCATCAGTCATGCTTGCAAAAGCCCAGTCACAACCTGCCTGTTTGGCAGATATTACCGAAGCCAGATTTCACCCAGACGCGGATCGCCTTCGTGCTGAACTAAACAAATATATTTTGGATAATTGGCCTTTTCCTAACGAGAAGGCAAGACAGAAGTTTGTAAAGCAGGATATTACAGGATGTACCTACCACTTATACCCCGAGATTCCATCTGAACGAGCTTTCTACGCTGGTATGATGATAGCAATGGGATTTTTAAACGATGGTAAGTACCAATAAGAAACAGTAAATTCGGGTAGCTAAGAACGAGCTTACTAAGTCAATCACAGACTGTCTGGATGATCTTTCTCTGGAAGAAGGTCGCGCCTACCTGGATCGATTACCATCCATCGTCCGTGGACAAACACTTCCAGACCGGAGTATACCTCGAGAATACATGTTCTACGATACATTCGAAGGCATGCGTGCAACCAATGAAAAGCTCGCCAATCAAGTAGTAGAAGCCTACATCGAGTTCTGGTGCGCCCAAGTAAACTCAACGCGTCTATCAAACTTGGGATTAAAATCCTACCTTGAGTTGAGAAGAAGTGACGTTGGCAGCAAGTATGTGTTTCCCCCCCTAAATCAGATAAGCCAGGATGGGCAGCATGTGACTTTCCTGAATTTGAGATTAATGTAGAAAAACAGCTACGCAAACAGCACCATGGCATTCGGTCTGAACATCGATCTCACGCCCACAGAACTCTCCAGAATCACCGAGATCGAGAAGCTACAAGCCTACCACCTGCTCGTAGTAAACGACTATTACTCCTTCGAAAAGGAACTCCTCGACTCGCAAACCAAGCATGAAGAAGGCGCAAAACTATTCAACGTCGTTGCAGTTCTCGCGAATGAAATCGACGTCAGCTATGCCTCGTCAAAAGCCATCATCGACGTCATGCTGAGAAAGTGGGAAGAGGAATGCAGGGTGATGGTTAAGGCCATTGAGAATAGAGGAGAATGTACCGAGGCCATGGCGAAGTATCTGAGAGGGAAGGAGTTGATGAATCTGGGGAATGTGGTATGGAGTGCGACTACGAGGAGGTATGTTGGCTTTGAGAAGCTGCTTTGACAGACAGGAGTATTCTTTTGAAATGGTGAACATAAAGGTTCTTATTAATCATATGAGCGATTTTTGGCGTTGGTGGTTTACATCTAGAGAATGAACCCGCAAATGTAAGAAGGGATTTAGGATACTAGAGGTGCTTCGAGCAATGGGCAGACGAGGAGGCCCGATGGCTATCTATTGGCAGTGGAAACTAGGGCGAGCTGGTATGGTTCCTGAGGCTGACAGGAGTATGGATGCGAGCAATAGAGTCCAGCAACGGGGTCCCTACCTACTTAGCCGCAAACTGTACCTCGAAGAAAGAAAGATAAGGGCAAGAAATTTGGACGGATTCACGAATTCCTTTTGAAGGTTGTAGGTTCTTGGTTTTGGCCACCGTCAAATCCGTCACAAGCACAAGCGAGAAGTGGAGCATGTGTTGGGGGCGAGAGTGGCCATTTTCAAAGGGTAATATTGAGGCAAGATGAAATCTATGCGCTTTGGACGGCATTTGTATCATATATATTTCCAGGGATAGCCTAGGTATAGCCTACTACTGCTTCTAGCCCCCGTGGATAAATTGTTATAAACGATTCCGCGAGCTTTCCATTGGTTCAAACAATAATCTTAAGTGACCTCGACTAATGCTCAGCAAATACAACAGCAGCATAATACTCTCTTTTCATGGCCTGTTTGGATCGAGTAATTTTTGCCGACTATTTAGTGATTGTTTTTGCGATTACTGTATACGAGTTATCGCTGAAATTATACAGTCCAAATGGGCCCTCAGAGTTAGCTTGTGACTAGAACCTGTATCCAGATCAGGTTGAATCTGCATTTTGATTTCAACCTTCATGAAGAACGACCTGCAAGGAGGTCTTCACACGGAAAAGGGAAAGAGAGGACAACCTCTGCTATAAGAGAGGCGGACATTACTCTGTATACACCTGAGTTATAAAAATATTATCCTAAAGACCTTATACAACTAAATCAATTATACGAATAATTTAGAATAATTGTTAATTTTTACTCCTAATCAAGCTAGGTAAGATAGGACAATTAATCTACTTGTGCCAGACTTTTGGCATAATAACTTTATAAGAGCGTGTACAGAGCAATGCAAGCCTCTGTAACAGCGTCTCCCTAGTCGCTCTAATGTTGCCCGAACATCACCCTTCAATACCGGTAGAAACTGGTATGTTTTAGGCACCAGTCTACTTTATGAATCGATTAATCTCAATAACAACCTGGAGGCCGGAAAAGTAGTTCCTATCCCTTACGCTGTAATTTTTCACTTACCGGTAGGCGGATCGCTTAGCTTGGTATAGCTAGTAGTATCCCGCCAGTTTGATTGGCGAGAGCACTAAGACTAAACCCTGTTCAGCGTTCTACCTAACGATAGTGAAAATTTACAGAGTAAGGGATAATTTATTTTCTCTGGGTGGCAGTAGCTCGGGGTATTGTTTAAATAATTAGCTGGCACAATTATGAGTTTGTTGGGAAACGAAATAAGCGGGCGGCTCTTAACGTTTATCTTCTGGCCCTACATCTCCCAACTAAGTGAGAAAGAGATCTATAACAGGCCGAGCACGTAAAGTGTGTTCTTTTGATATAAATGAAGCTACCTCAAAGCATTCTGCTGAGATTCCTTAGGCCAGCCGCAGGCTCGAAACGCCAAATGAAATGGAGATAGAATAGCAAAAGAATACCCAAAGAACGCCTGTCTAGACGGGACAGTTGTTGATATATCTATAGCGCAAGAAGCTCAGTACCACGCGATAGTGATAGAGATTTCCAAGTGGCATTTAGTAAATGACAACACGACACATATCCCGTCACACATGAATAGAATCGCAGGATAGATATGAATGGCGGCTTGGGGTTGATGATTTACAGGCGTCTCGACGTCAAATTCGTGTTTAGTTTATTTACCGTGGTGTTCCTAGAACCAATTTCGTTTTATTGTTCTCTGGGAGGGAGAAGGCGAGAGCCCACAAACAATTTGTCTCGATTGAGGGGATGTAGATTAGTTGGAGTCATGAATGCAAGTTTGAACCTGCTGTGTTGGGTCAGGAAACTGCCGTCAACCTAAAAATTACTTCCTTGAGGCTGCCCAGGTGGACGAGCCTGGCGTCTTATCATTATTTTATGAACGTTTCGTACACTTTACCTTCGTTATAAGAAATCAACACGCTTTGGTGTCACTTCAAGCGTGACAGACAATGCTAATTGAGTGTGAACCCATTGCTTCAATTCTGCGATGCCGAATGACGACTCGTTCTGAGACGAACGTTAGATAGTATCCAATTCATACTGCCAAAAGAGCTCACCTGTATTGCAAGATCATACGCGCCGATAGGCTTCCCATAAGCAGATCGGCTTACAATTTTCCTCCACGGTATATTATCCATCATGCTTTGGCTTCGCAAATATCAGTCAACTCCCATATGCTTCTAATTCCTGAGCCTCGTCACACTATTCCGCCATTTCGTCTCTGCCAGCTGGACTACGGCTCCGACTTCTCGCTCTTCCCTTCGCAGGCGCTCGCCCTCCCTTGGCCTTTCCTGGCGGTGGTCGTACAAAGGCAAAGTCTACCTCGATTGTCTGGTCAAGTAGCTTGGTTCCATTTGCTCCGTCAATCGCAGCGCGTGCTTCATCGAGTGTTGGGTATTCAATGAGTGCGTAGCCCTGTTAATTGAGCAACATATTAGCAGCGTTCTCCCAGGACTTCTACGGATAAGCTTCTCCCACCTTGACATAACCAGTTCGGCGGTCCAGGTTCAGGTGCAGATTCTTGATTTCTCCAAAGTCGGCAAACAGATCATTCAGGTCCTCCTCGCTTGCTTCTTCGTGGACATTGGTGACAATGATAATCCAGCCTTCGATGGAGCGGACGGCGGTCGCGCCTGTCTGGGTAGCCATGGATGCATTTTTGGGGTTGTTTTGGACGGGGGATACGGGCGCGTCAACGTCAACATCTACTTCCATTTCGACGTCAGCCATGATGAAGGTTGGGTTGAAAGATTCGCGGCGAGAGGGAAGGTGGTTTTCGTGTGGTGTTGTAGACTTTGAGTTGGGTTGCTGTACTATGCTCGACTTCTCGACATGATGTGTGGTTGAATTTGCCCGAACTTCAGCCGAGGTCCCACTCACTACAGAATCGTCTTTCACCACCACATTAGTATAATAAGAGGGTAGAAAGGGGCTAATTATTGCTCTTGGTAATCGCTATTTCTCCGTTAAAGTCGTTCGTGCACTTTCAAAGGATTTGATACTCACATTTAATTGGCTTTGAATTGACTAGTCCTCATCTTGCTATCTCACAATAAAAACCTATGAAATGTTTTCCCGCTAAAGTTCTCTAGGCCACCATGTTTTTACATTAAGTATCCCAATTAGCGTTATTTTCATGGTTCAAGATTCTGACTGAGCAAAGGTTTGGCATAAGCGAGCATGGGCCTACCCAAGTATAGGCGGAAGTTCGCAACGAAGGCCGCAATTCTTTTGATGTCAATTCCTGAATGAGGAGAATCGAAAGTAAGTAGTACGAAGAGACCAGGGATATACAATAACAATTTATACAACTTATAAAAAACTAGAATGTGAAGAAGATAATGGCTTTGGTTGTAGAACCACTCCTCTTTTGGATCAAGCCTTGGCGATAACATCACCTACACATCATGGAACCAAATGATACAATTCATGGTTTATCATAACACTAAAGATATCTTGTGTACAGAATCATCGAATGCATTAAGCTTCGTTTTCCTCCAACTGAGGTAGCCTGAGTTCCCCCCAAGTCTTGAGACGTCATATTAAGCGACACAGAACAACCAACTTACGGAAAACACAGCCTTTAGCTACTTGACTGGAAAGAACGCAAGTCTTCGATAAGTATACAATGCTCGTGATATAAAAGACAGCGCGCCCAAAGCCGAGGGTTTAGACTTCTTGGATACGATCGTAAATTCCCCATCCTCCATCATGTATGACACTCAGCCATATTAAAGAACCATGAATATAGCAGGTGAACCTTAACCACCCCACCACCCCCCGGTAAGCCATGGTCAGATACCTGGTCGTCACTCTGTACACGTCATATCAAATGTCATTATACTAGACTTCTAGTACAAGTAAATTTGATATCTTGTTATTCCTAGGCTACTATAGAGTAACGGTTAATAATTATTCTAACCCCTTTATATAATTATTTGCGTTATATAAAGTTTTTAGGATAATATTGTTCTAAGAGAGGTGTATATAGAGTAACGACCATGTCTCTTGATGTTTCTTCTGTTTTTGATAAATTGAGATTTTGTACTCCAAGTTGTACCAGACCATGTTATCGTCCTTCAAGCTCAGGATCATTGCACAGATTTCGTCAAGGTTAATACTCGATGCTTTATATACAATGATTTACCAATTGCAAGCTCTATTCTATAATTTCCGTTGATCTCGACCTCAAATATTTATTTCATCCGAACAACATTAGTTGCTCGTTTGGGTCAATTCCCAGCGATAATCATTCCTCTCCTTTCTTTAATTGTTCGTTTTCTGAAACATTGAACGGGTAGATTCCAGTGCCGGATGTTCCCTTAACAAAATTAATTAGCCCAGACTTCTCCATCCTTCGTAACATCTTTGATTTCACTGAACAAGTTCCACCATTTTTTATACCGTATTCTCAAACAATCCCGTGATAAATGCTACCGACACACATAAGAAACCATAGTTTATAGCAAGAACTTTAAGAACACGCAATTACTACTCTATATTAATAATCTTCTAAAAAAGAATAATAATAAAATTGTTATGTTTTTAGGTCCTACTCTTAGGTACTGTAAACATCGTGGTTTCGCAATAAATGAGTACCCTTGTGATTTCTCATAGAGGTTGCATTAGCAAATCTATAGCCTAAAACTCTCCTCATGTCCTTCACTTGCACCCTAGCCCCGGGACTAGGCTGTAAGGCAGGTAAGTATCCGGCAGGTCGTCACCCGCCATCCACCACCTATTGCCACAAACCCGACTTACCCGTCCTGCGAGTTGAGTGAAGGCCATTCTCTTTACGCTCACCTGATCCGAGCGCCCGGTCAACAGCCTACCAACACCGTTGAAGTGCTGCGACCACCAGAGCTTCACTCTATGAAGGTCCTCGGAAACAAGGCGGGCTGTTTCTGTTATCGCGCAAGGCTACAACAGCCTTGAACGATCCATACTTGGCTTGATCTACAAATTTCCGCTCGATTATTCTATCAGGTAATAGAGAATTAGATAATGGTTAAAATATCAGTTAAATGATGTACTAGTTAAGGCTAATACTCCGATATAACTTCTGGTATAACATCGTAGTAAACATTGTGCGGCTTGACCGCTATACCAGAAACCAAATCTTTTTTGTTGTAGTAAGCTAACTTATTTGAAACTATATTTGAGATAATAACTCAAGCGAAGATAGGCCGAAATCAAAAGCAATTCGCTACTACTATCAAGGTTCCACTCCGTAATGTGCTTTTATAATATATATAGGCACATATAAAAGTAGAACATAGGCACATCTAAAGGGTAAGTAGGAATGGAACTTGGCGTCATTTTGAATTAGAAAATATGTTACAGATTTGAGCAAATTAATATTAATACGTAGACCACTATAAAAACTCGAAAACCAAGAATAACATTCGCCGATGTTAGGGGAAGGGCAACCTAAAAATGAGCAGCACCACAATTTGCCGAACATACATTAAAGATATCTAGATAGACTTAGTTACATGGTACATATTACCTCCCCAGAAAACTGTTACTGTCAAAGGGCTTCTTATAAAGGCAAGCTTAATCACGGAGATTTGTGGTGAAATCTGATGAAGGCTAAGCGAGGGTGTCCTGCGATGTTGTTTAACTCTGAAATGCATACAACGAAACAGATACGCGGAGGGATGTAATGCGACTACGCGATAATTAGGCAGGAAAAGCCTGAAATTGACGGGGGTGCCCCAAGGAGCTCAGAGAGACTGCAATGGGCATAGTAACTTAAAACGCTAGTTTCGATGGGGCGAGGCACTCCAGCTGACATTAATAGCACTGCTGTAAGTTGCTAGTAAAATCTCTTGTCGTCATCAAAGCTAAAAGACATGTAGTCCGAGAATGCTCAGGAAACCGTGGATTCTTCGAAACCTGCTTCTGCGAACACTTTCCCAACTGATACTGAGAACGAAGAGCACATCAATACGTTTGTCAAGGAGTCTATGGATGCTTCACTGATTGTTGCCACCAGCGGTAATATCGAGATGACCAGCAGTAAGGCGGTTTATATAGAGAAAGTTGGAAATTAAGAAAATTTTCGATTTATTTAAATTATATTAGAGATAATAATCTGTAGAGATTTTTATACCTATAAATAGTTGTAGAATATTATAATTCCTACTTTTAGAATATCTATATACTATATATTAGTTCTTTAAACGACTATAGCGATCAATAATTACCTGTAAGAGATAGTATAATTATAGGATAGCTAGTTTTTTAGTAAACCTACTTATTTCTCTCTATATAATTAAAGTAACCTCTACCTATATCTCTTACCTAAACTTGAACTTTATTATGAAAGGTTACCTCTCTAGTAGCTATACTAACCACTACTACGGTTGTGACGGTTCTAACCGTCACCACCATTCGGATCACGTGGTCTCGCTTAGCGACCCACACCAAGTATTTAGATCGAAGCTCTCTCGAGCTCTCCTCTTCTCCTCAGCTTAGAATCTTTGTTTAATTGACAGTTCTACGATTCCACAACCTACACCGTGGGCCTTGCGTACGTGTCGTCACAACGGTAGTAAGGGTTAACGCTATTCTTTCCGACCCTACCTAAATTATCGTAAGAGGAAGCGTAGTAAGTGTTAAGGACAAAACAGGAGACTATTAGAATGAGCTGTAAAAAGTATATACTTTAAAAGTAGCTAGCTGTGACGGTTATGGTCACGAGGGCTGGATGTCACATGCTCGCTTAGCGAGGCGCTAGCGCGCACGACCTGTATTTAGTTCCCAGCTCTCTTGAGCTCTCCTTCTTTCCTCGTCTTTTGTCCTAAGAATAGAGTGTTAATTGTTCTGAGTTCTACCTGAAGCACGTCTGTCACACTAGCTAAGGTAAAGTAGTACCCTAATATAAGAGCTCTTCTATACTATAGAACCTTCCTATCTAAGACTAGCGTGACTTATATAAGACTAGCCCTGACTGTTCTGGAACTATATAGCGTATAGGCTATCTCGCCTAATATAGGAGTGATATACTAAGTAAATAAAGGGGTAAACTTTAGTACGTTCAATAATAATTGCCCCCGAAAAAGAAAAAGATAATATCCTAGCGTTATTAAGTATAGACTCTAAAGAGTACTAAAGATAGCTAGAATATATCTACTAATTATAATAAAAGTCCGGACCTATTATCTATAAAAATAAAGAACCTAGTTCCTTCTTTTAGGACCTAAATGTAACGAATACTCAAACTGGCTAACTAAACTTGGCTGGGTGTTCGCTGGTTGGTATGCTATGATAAGAAGAAGACTATCGGGTTGTTCACTTGGAAGTGAACTCGTTACTTGTATCAAAGATGTCAAACTAATATGATAAGATTGATAACTAAGTTGAGCACGAAGCTCCTATCTAATGGCAGACGTGCCAGTCTTATATAGAACCTTCGTTCTCTGTCGATCATCGCAGAGCGACTCGATCGCCTGTCGCTCAGAGCGACAGTCGGTTCGACCGACACCAACAATGGTCGCTCGGTCACGTGACTACAATACAATGAAATCCATGGATCGCTTAGCTACCCTAAACGATCCCTATTTGCTATAAGAGATACGATAGTGCTTAACCTGTCAGGGCGCCGCCTGGTCTTTACTCGTCACATGCTCACACGTGGTTCGTGACACTAAATATATAAAGACTATTAAAAAGTAACGTAATCTATTCTAAATCTAATATAAATCTAATATATCTATTCTAAATAAAAGAAAAGTTATCTTATTACGCTTATTATAGAATAATCTTATAAGTAGTAGCCTTAAAATCCTAAATAACCTCTAAAGTATTACTAAGTGTCACGAATCACGTGTTCACGTGATAAGAGAAGACCAGGCGGCGTCCTGAAAGGTCAAGCACTATCAGTACTCTTATAGCAAATAGGGACGCTTGGGCTAGCTAAGCGATCCAGGGATTTCATTCGGTTAATATCACGTGACAGGGTCACATGATCGTTGGAGCTTGCAGGAGCTTGCGTTGGAGCTTGAGGATCTTGGGCTCCCCGTAGGCTCCACGAGAACGAAGGTTCTATATAAGACTGGCACTTCTGCC